AACCCTGTTTGTTTTTCAGAGTCCATCGTCTCTCATGGTTCGTCTACCCCTCCAATTTCCCCCGCTTCATTCTTCCCCTCCCGCTACCTTCTAAATAAAGTCTTCTTAAAAAATTAATGTGAATTTTGTTTTCTGATCCATGATATATCCCTCTTTGGTTTAAAATGTTTTAATTGGTTATTACCAAGTAGTATTATTAACCAGCAGGAACATGTACCACATTTATCCTAGGACTATTAATACTCTCTGACATACATGGTTTATCCCCAGGAAAGACAGGTGATAGACTATATAAAAAAGAGGTTTCAGGGTGCCTACGTGGCTCAGTTGGAGGAGCATGTGACTCTTTTTTTTTTTTTTTAAGATTTTATTTATTTGAGAGAGAGAATGAGAGAGAGAGAGAGAGCACATGAGAGGGGGGAGGGTCAGAGGGAGAAGCAGACTCCCTGCCGAGCAGGGAGCCCGATGCGGGACTCGATCCTAGGACTCCAGGATCATGACCTGAGCTGAAGGCAGTCGCTTAACCAACTGAGCCACCCAGGCGCCCCAGCATGTAACTCTTGAGCTCAGGGTCGTGAGTTCAAGCCCCACACATGCTCCTCCTACTGAGCCAACCAGGCGCCCCAAAAATAAAATCTTTAAAAAAAAAAAAGAGGGGCACCTGGTGGCTCAGTCATTAAGCGTCTGCCTTCGGCTCAGGTCATGATCCCAGGGTCCTGGGATCGAGCCCCACATCGGGCTCCCTGCTCCACGGGAAGCCTGTTTCTCCCTCTCCCACTCCCCCTGCTTGTGTTCCCTCTCTCACTGTGTCTCTCTCTGTCAAATAAATAAATAAAATCTTTAAAAAAAAAAAAAAAGAGGTTTCTAGGACTTATTTTACTCTAATGTGCATCTTGTTGGAAAAAGAAGTACTGGATTTGTTATTCATGTATGTTTTTTGCTCTTTTTGTTTTTCTAATAGCTAAAGAAATGTTATATACTGTTTTCCCTGCTTCAAAAACATATTTTAGATTAATTAATTACACTGTCGAGGTGCTTTCCATTATTTGCCTATTGGTGTAATGACTGACACATTTGAAGGGATTCCAAGATGCAAAAGCTCATAGATGCTTTGTTTTTAATTGATTTTTAGACTTGCATATTTTCTTTCAGGTGAATGACAGTCTAGTAGTTAATTTCCCGTGAGTTTTGCTTTGCTGGTTGTGTGTAATGCTCAAATGGGCTGGGCAGAGGCCATATGAGCTTTTTTTTTTTTTTTTTTAAGATTTTATTTATTTATTTATTTGAGAGAGCGAGAATGAGAGAGAGTACATGAGCGGGGGGAGGGTCAGAGGGAGAAGCAGGCTCCTCGCTGAGCAGGGAGCCCGATGCGGGACTCAATCCCAGGACTCCAGGATCATGACCTAAGCCGAAGGCAGTTGCTTAACCAGCTGAGCCACCCAGGCGCCCGCCATATGAACTTCTATTGCACTTCACAAGTCAGGCCTTATTCATTTAATTTTCTGCTTTGTGATAGGGACTTGCAGTAAAAGCTACCAGAAAAGTGGGGAAAGGACCAAAGATGAGAGAAAAGAATATAGAAGGAACCAGTCTGTCCTGGAAAAAGAGGCGTTGGGGCTGAGCAATCAAAAGTCACTTGTAGGAGGGCCTGGGTGGCTCAGTAGGTTAAGCATCTGCCTTCAGCTCAGGTCATGATCTCAGGGTCCTGGTATCAAGCCCTATGTCCCACTCCCTGCTCAGTGGGGAGCCTGCTTCTCCCTCTACCTCTGTTCCTCCCACCTGCTTGTGCGCACACAAGCTCTCTCTCAAAAAATAAAAATCTTAAAAAACAAAAAAAGGCACTTGTAGTCCCTCAAAAGCTATAAAATGGAATTATATTTTAAGCCTGAATGTGCAACAATCTTTTATATTTTGATTTTGGATTTTAACTATCTTATCTAGTTACCAAAAAGGAATCCATTAATGAGAGGGGGGGCAGGCATGAAGTGTAAATGCAAAGTAGATTCAAAACATATATAGAAGGTATATTTGATCCACTTTGGTGATTAGATGTGGGAACTTTGAGAGAAGAGAAGCTTAGGATTACCCCTAGATTTCTGGTTTGGGAAATTGGGTATATAGGATAGTGCATTTTATAAGAAAGGGAACACGTGTAAAGCAGGCTTATGGGAATTATATAAGAATATAGTTTTAAATCTCTTGAATTTGAGGGACCTGTGGAGCGTCCAAGTGGAGATATTTAGTAGGCAGTTAGGTATATGGGCTGGAGCTCAGAAATATAGGGGAAAATCAGCCTACAAATGATAGTTGAATCCAAGGTTTTGCCCACAGAACAAGTGAGAAAGAGTCCTGTGGAATTGTGCTTTGGAGGAACACAAATATTTTTATTTTTTAAAAGATTTTATTTGAGAGAGAACATGAGCTGGGTGGGGCGGGGGGGCGCTGCAAAGGGAAAAGCAGAACAGAAAGCTTGACTCGGGGCTCTGTCCCAGGACCCTGGGATCGTGACCTGAGCCAAAGGCAGATGCTTAACTAACTAAGGCACCCAGAACACAAATATTTTAGAAGCAGGTGAAATAAATGAGAAGAAGACTGTCAAAGAGATAGGAGGAGAAATAGGCCTTGCAGTCATAGGATTCAAGGAAACAGAGAGGCTCAAGGATGAGGGAAGGGAGTGGTCAGAGAGAGGGCACTAGCTTTAAAAGTTGGATCCTTGAATGTATCTGAATGTTTATATGTGAAGAACCAATAAGGAGGGAAAGAGAAGCTGAAGAAGATATAGATAATAATTGGCTCTATAAGAGCAGTGGCAGGGGAGAGGTAGTGAGCACAGGTATTTGGATTAACCTTGGATAGAAGACTTTATGTTTTCTAAGACTGAGTTAAAAGTAAACTTGTGGGTTTGGTGAGCTTATGCTATAGGCAGGCCTGGGAGAATAGAAGTGGAGAAAACTAGTCCCAGAAGAAAGCATAGAGATATGTCTACCAAAGAATTATAAAGCAAAGCTATGTTGGGGAATAATGGATGAAGGGAAGAAAGCCAGTGTTGGTACTGTGAAGGAACCTTGAGTCCAAGCTGTCTAAAGACCCTGTGTGCTTCCAATAAAAATCAGACTGTCCCATCAATTCATATTTTATTTTAGGAACCTGGATACTGTTCCCCAAGAAGAAATTCATTAGTTTGGACCTGGAGGATTCTTTTGTATCAGACACCAAGATGAAAGAATCACCGATAGATGGTAAATGTGACAAAGCAGTGACACCACAACTGGGGCGGCTAGATGAAATTAAGACAGAACCTGACAATGCTCAGGTAAATATCCTACTTTATTTTCTTTTTTGTAGAGCAGCATTTAAGTATACACTTCAGTTATGCAGATGCTGGTTTACTGGCTGAAAACCTGAAATCTTTATCTTCCCCTAAGCAGTTGGTCAAATAATACAAGGTATATGGTGTGAAGTGCCATCACAACTGTATGCAAGAACATGATTTGAGCGAAGAATGGATGTTTAGAATTGGGTTTTGGATTGATAAACGGATTGCTTAGGGTATTATGGGCCTAACTAAGGTTAACACATTTTTGTTTTCATTTTTCTTAACTTGAAACAATATGAGTAACTAATCGTATGTTTTTATGCTACTGACTCTGTTTAGTACATTATAAATTCTTAGAATTTTTTTCTTTGTAATTATTTTACCCAGATCAGTTTCATGTTTATTCTTAAACTTTTTTAGACATATTATATGCTAAAGAACCTGTAAAGATAAACTGACTCAAGCTGTGAATGTTCTGTGAGTAGTGCCAAATTTCCTTAAAATGTTTATATATGAACTAGCTGAAATTTCTAATGAAACAAAAAGTAAATTCAGTTTTAATTTATTTCTAGTATTCTGTTTAGGAATAGCCTAAAGTAAATCAGTATTAAGTAAGGATATTACTCCCATTGAGTTGGTGACACTAGGGAATGTTGTCCCATCTCAGAAGTATTGATTGCTTCTTCAGTGTATGGACATTCAAACACATAGATCATGTTTAGATAGAGTGCCTGCTGCTCTGAAAAATCCTCTGCAAGACTCATTTAGCCCACTCCAACAATTTTGTGTTTAAGGTCTTTATGAAGACAATTAGCTATTATTGATTAGAACAAGGAGGAAAAATAGGCGTCATTACTGAGTGTGTCTCCTCTATTTGTGGTAGCTTACTGAAGGACTCTGAACAGATATTACTGAAATCACATCTAGGTATTATAGAATATAATATATAATGTATAGAATATAATGTGTCAGCCAAAGGTCACCAAAAGGGGAGTGTTCACCTATGGTTCAGTTCAGTTATACAATTCACTAATATACAGTATTATATATCAATAATATACAGTATTATTTTCTGTTGAATAACTAGTTGTTTTATACACATTGTATTCATTATTTTCATCTCTTTTTTTAGGAGTATTGTCAAGCCCAGCAGCCTAAAACTCAGGAGAATGAACTGAAAATAAACACCACATTTTCAGACAGTGGTAATAGAATTACTTAAATTAATCCTATTTATTCTAACCAATGTAATAGCCAGTTTATTCTACTTTTTTAGAGTGTCTTTGAATAGTGCATTGTTTGGGGTTTCAAGTCCAGAAGTAACCTCTAAAAGAAAACAAAAGAATGCATACTTAATTTTACGTAAATACTAATTTTCTTCCTTCCTGTTTTGTGTTTATAGCTCCACAGTTGACTGCAGGCATTCAGCTTTCTCTGACATCATCTGGCATGAATAAAATGCTTCCTTCAGTTTCAACCACAGCTATTCAGGTTTCCTGTTCTGGTTGTAAAAAAATTCTCCAGAAGGGGCAAACTGCTTATCAGAGGAAAGGGTCTACTCAGCTTTTCTGCTCCACGCTGTGCATCACTGAATACATTTCATCTGCCAATTCACCAGCTCTTCCCAAGAGAACTTGTTCAAACTGCTCAAAGTATATAATTCTAAATTATGCCCCCTTTTACTTCCCTACATAGATCTTGATCAGAGTCTTGGTTGTAACTGTCTACATTTTCATTTTTTCTTTTCTTTTCTTTTTTTTTAAAGATTTTATTTATTTATTTGACAGAGAGAGTGAGAGAGCACAAGCAGGGGGAACAGCAGAGGTAGAGGGAGAAGCAGGCTCCCCGCCAAGCAGGGAGCGTGATGCGGGGCTTGATCCCAGGACTCTGGGATCATGACCTGAGCCGAAGGCAGATGCTTAACCATCTGAGCCACCCAGGCGCCCCTATTTTCATTTTTTCTGAAGAAGTATCACCTTGGTTTAGTGAAAAGAAGCTGCTTCTGCTTTCAGTTCCTCTGTTAGATTCTTCAGAAATACTTTTTTTGTTGAGAGATTTGCAGAAATTAAAACATAAGGAGTTCTATTTCTCTTCAGCTTTAAATAATGTGACTTCTGAAACTTAACCTTCCTACTCTTCATTTAAAATTCTCTATAAATGAAATTATTATATGCCCATTCTATTTTATCATTTAACTGTATAGGAGGCAAACCACTAACACATTAATCATGTAATAGTTAATTTGGATCTTCCAAGGTATAAAATAGCCAAGGTGTGACATTATAAAATAATGTTTCTCATAATGGTAAATGAAGTTATTCGATTCTTTTACAAAATTGAATAGTCGTAGGTAAACATGGATGGATGTAGTCTTTTCAAGATTTCAGTGTTGGGGTCTGTATTGCTAACTTCTTTATATATGTATGTAAGGCAGTTTAGATGCAGAGAAAGGAAGTAGTAATTTCATAATGAATTAGTGGAAAATGTCCAAAACCTTGAACTCTATCCTGAGATATATAAAGGATCAACGTGCTTTGAGAATCCTATCGTAGTATAATTCTGGTTTGTTAGTACTCATTAAATGCTAATGCTAAATTTTAAATGTTTTTGTTTCAGAACAAAGAAAACACATAAGCCACCAGTTTTGCTCGTAAATATAATAAATTCCTTTCATATGTCTTATTTTGGAATCAGGTTGCCATAATTTGAATTTTGCTTCCTCCATTTACGGTTATATTGTACAACTCATAGCAGCTGTATCCATATCATCTGGGAGCTTGTTAAATAAAAATACAGAATCTCAGGCCTCATCCAGACCTACTGAATCAGAGTTGCATTTGTCCCCAGATGATACATCTATATGCTAAAGTTTAAAAGCATCGAGAACTTCTTAGTATTCCCATTTGTTTTGTTAAATGCACATTATGAGCATTAAATAATAGATTTAAGTGATCAAAACAATACTGGCATGTAATAAGACCTTAGTAAATGTTAGTTATCACTGTTATTCTCTTAACAAACTCACAAACCCTTTTTATTGGTTGCTTCAGCTCCTTGTTTAGCTGCTGCTTCGGGTATTATCTGTTGCTTCGAGTCTTACTCCCTGAAACTCAACCTTTCTCTTGTGTTTTTTCAACCCTTCAATACTATGTCTTTTTTCCTTTTTGCTAAGGGCTGTAAGGCACTCTCTTCAGTCTGCTTTCTTTCTCTGCAGAATCATAAAACTGGAAGGGACCTTAGAGATCATCCAGTCCAAACATTTTCTTTTGGTTTTGAGGAAACTGAGGTCCTGAGAAGTTAAGGTATCATGTTACTGTGTTTGGAGTTTACCCATTGTACATCTTCAGCAGATCTCCCAGACAGATTGAAAAGGCTGAAACAGGAAAGATATAGTGTGTAAGTTGTTCCCTAAGATGAAGAAATCCAATATGAGCAAAAATATGAAACAGGTTTTACTTCCTTTGGAATACAGATTTTTTTTTTTATAAAAACACTATTGTATAGGTTGGTGGAACGGTAATAATGCTTAGGCTGGGAGAGGCCATCCATTGTCCAGAGTAACCTGTGCTTTTTAAAAAATTTTTTTCTTTCACATTTATTAGCGTCTTGTATTAATATAGAGTTCTCAAGATTTTAGCTAATTATCAGTTAGTATTGAGGTTTCTTTCATAGCAATGATTTAAGATCTGTTTTGAGTTAATGCAGTTTTTATTCTGTTTCATGAAGCAAATAAAAGTTAGCTTCGAAAATGGCATTTTAAATCATGTTAGAAAAATAAGACTTCTTTTTTTTTTTTTTTAAGATTTTATTTATTTATTTATTGGAGAGCAAGCGAGAGAGAAACAGCATGAGAGAGGAGAGGGTCAGAGGGAGAAGCAGGCTCCTTGCTGAGCAAGGAGCCCGATGTGGGACTCGATCCCAGGACCCTGGGATCATGACCTGAGCCGAAGGCAGTCGCTTAACCAACTGAGCCACCCAGGTGCCCAAAATAAGACTTCTTTTGAGAGCAATGTATTTAAGAAGTGTCATTTCTGCACTTTAGTATCCCAGTTGGAACCAACCAGAGATTCTGATAGCAATCAGCAGAGTTCAGAATATCCCTGTGCTATATAACACTTACATGTAGGAAAGTTGTTCAGTCCTGTGCTTAGAGTTTGTTTAAGCTAATTTCAGGTACTATTAAGAAAACTCATTTTTTAGTTTTTTATTTATAAGGACTTAGTAGATTAGAAACCAGGAATGTAATATACTGGTAGCAGTAAAAATCAGTAAACATTTTCAGACTTCCATGCTTTTGCCAATGGTTTCTTCTGCCTCCCTTTCCATCTGCTAATTTCTTTCTGTCTTAAAGGTCTGCCTCAAATATCTTACCTCTTGTCTGTTCCCACACCATTTTTTCCTCTCCTCTCACTAACCCCCCACCCACTCAGAGTAATTATTCCATGGCCTGTGTTTTAATAGTGTTCATAGTTCCCACAACATTAATCATAAAATTAATGTTTTTAAAGAAAGAATTGATATCGCCCCAGTTAGAATATGAACCTCTCTTTTTTTTAAAGATTTTATTCGTTTATTTGAGAGAGAAGGAGCAGGGAGAGGGGGAAGCAGACTCCCCGCTGAGCAGGGAACCCAATGCAAGACTCAATCCCAGGACCCCGGGATCATGACCTGAGCTGAAGGCAGATACCTAACCAACTGAGCCACCCAGGCGCCCCTAGACTATGAACCTCTTGATGAGATTAGGAACCAGATCATACTCATCTTTATATTCCCAGTGTGTAAACACCAACTGGCACACAGTGAATCCTAGAAAAGTTTTTGTCGAGTAAAGTACAAGGATAGCACAACTCAGATACTGCATTTAGAGCTATATTTTAAACCAGTAAAATGATTGATAATGAAATGAACCTGTTACTTTTGGTACCGTCTATTTAAGAAGGAGGAAAATCATAATACACTAAAAATTTGTAAGTGTTAAAATAGTGTTGATTTCAGGAATATTTCATCTGGAAAACTATTATCCTGAAAGATTGATACTCTAAGGGTTCTAAGTAGCCAGATACCATGGCAGTTCTTAAACATTCTGGTCTCTGGACCCCTTTCCACTCTTAAAATTTTTTGAAGAGCCAGAGAGCTTTAGTTTATGTAGGTTCTATCTACCAATATATACTGTGTTCGAAATTAAAATTGAGAAAATTTTAAACTAATTATTAACTCATTTAAAAATAATAACTCACTGCATGTTGACATAAATAATATTTTTAATGAAAAATAGCCATATACGTTTTTTAATTTAGTGAGGAGGAATTTTAAGAAAAATTCAGTAAGCATCATTTTATCAGTTTTGCAAACCACTTCAGCGTCTGACTGGGTTTTCATATCTGCCTCTGTTCAGTTTATTGGAAAATGTTGTTTTAGCTGAAGTGTGAAAAAAAATCTGGCACTACAAATATGTAATTGGAAAAGGGAGGAGTGTTTTAATAGCCTTTTAGATTTTGTGGATGCTCTTCTTTGATCATCTACCAGAAAATAGGTAGTACTTCTTAAAGGTTAGTTACAATGTGAAATCTGAAACCATACCAATGAATTTTTTTGTACTGTTAGGTTAAAATACATTGGTCTGTTTGTACTTTGAATGGCTTTTTTTTTACCCATGAATGAATGATTTTTCTTACATGCTATCATAATTTGGAAAGTACTGGTTCACTGAGTTATGTAGATCTTCCAAATGTTGGCATATTTCTTTTTTTTTTTATAAAGATTTTATTTATTTATTTGAGAGACAGAGAGAGCACACGGGTAAATGAGCAGGCAGAGAAAGAAGCAGGCTTCCCGCTGAGCAGAGAGCCTGACATAGGGCTCGATCCCAGGACCCTGGGATCATGACCTGAGCTGAAGGCAGACGCTCAACCAACTGAGCCACCCAGGTGCCCCTGTTGGCATATTTATGCAATATTTTTAAAATCACATTTGTTAAAAGAAACACTAAAAAAAATATATATATATACCACTAATCTCATCAAGAAAGCTTAACTATTGGGAAGCAAGTTGGAGATGGGATATTTTCCATAATTCTAATTTTCAATGAAAGCTCGACTTTTATCATTGGCAGTGAAACTGCCAGTTGTTTATCTTGAAGTAACAGTCTTACTTTGTTCATTTTTGAGAAAATATTTGCCAGATACCCACTCTGGATAATAGTTTGTTCTTTCAAGTAAAAATGTATTCCATGAAAAAGGTAACTACCTCAGGTTGTAACTCTCAACATCCCCACGTGAGATTTTCCTTGAGACAACCATCATACTTTGGTGTGAAGGAGAAGTACTTTATGCCTGTGTCCCATATCGTCACACAGAATACTAAAAAGAGGTTGTCAAGGATAAAGTTTAATAAAGTAAAGGATTTTTACAGCGAATGTGTGGCAATGAATAACATACTAGGACATTCTGGTTCAACTGCCTTCATTTGTGCTCAGGCTCTGGCGTTTGACCCAGCATTGTTTTTTTTCTCCCAATTTATTGAGGTGAAAGTCACATAACAAAAAGCCACTTCAGTAGTAGTTAGTACACTCAACAGTGTCTAGTTCAGAACATTTCTGTCACTCCAGTGTATCCAGTAAGCAGTTTCTCCCCAGAGATCTCCTCTCTCTTCAGCCCCTGGCAACCACCAATCTTCATTCTATCCATGGATTTACCTATTCTGGATATTTCATATCACTGGAATCCTACAGCATACAACCTTCTGTGTCTGTCTTTTAGCATAATTTTGTCGAGATTTATCCGAGGTTTATATGTGTTGTAGCATGTAGCACTTCATTCTTTTTTTTATAGCTGAGTAATATTCCATTGTATGGATATAGCACAGTTTGTTCATTCATTGATTGGTGAACATTTGGGCTGTTCCCATCTTTTAGCTATTTTTTTTTTTCTTTTTTAAGTAAGCTCCAGGCCCGATGTGGGGCTTGAACTCACAACCCTGAGATCAAGAGTTATGTGCTTTACCAACTGAGCCAGCCCAGTGCCCCTATCTTTTTTAGCTATTTGAAATAGTGCTGTTAGGAACATACGTGTATTTATCCTTTTTTGAGTACTTCTCTTCAGTTCCTTGGGGTACATGCCTAGGAGTGGAATTGCAGTGGCCCATTGTTGATGGTGCACCATCAGTTCAAATGTTAACAGGGAGAAAGACAGTTTTTTTGGACAAATAATATTTTAATATGAAAATAGTTTTGTTTTTTGTGGACCCCTCTAAAAGTATCTGGAGTATTCGGAGGTTTGTAGACCATATTTTGATATCCTCTGTCTTGTAGATTACAAAGTTGGTCAGGTATGAATTTGCGATTTCTCATCATCATTCTTTTATCACTAGCACTAATTAATATAAGCGACGTAATCCTCAAACTGTGGTATCAGTTGTGTTTTATAATCCCTACTTTGTAGATGAGGGAATCAGCATTTGGGAGTATATATGACTTACCCGTCGTTACATAATATAAGTCCTAGAACTAAATACCAAATTCAGGTTTTCTTATTTCAAGGCTGGTGTCACTGCTGTTGCACCATCTAAAGGTAGATGAAATGGGAGAGGGTTACTTGCGGGAGTGCTTTAACTTATAAGAGTGTTTAATGGTGCCCTTGTTTTTCCTTTTAGAGACATCTTAAATCTAAAGGATGTGATCAGTGTCCAGCTAGAAGATAATACGTCTAGCAAAAATTTTTGCAGCCAGTCTTGTCTTTCATCATATGAAGAAAAAAGAAAAGCATTTGTTACCATATGTACTAATAGCATTTTAACCAAGTGCAGCATGTGTCAGAAGACTACTGTTGTAAGTTGCAATTTTTTTTAACTTTGAGGGATTCTGATTATTTTGCTTAAATATTGGAGTTTTTACTGAATTTTTTTAAATCCTAGATTCAGTATGAAGTAAAATACCAGCATGTGAAACACTGTCTTGTAGTAATGCCTGTTTTCAGTTTCACTCTGACAGCCTCATCACGGTGGTCTTGAGAACTGTGGGGCTTACTATTAAACTGTCTCTAGTCTATTTCATATGCTTCAGATGAAAGGACAGTCCCATTACTTTAATAGTTCAAGGAGAGGGGTGCCTGGGTGGCTCAGTCAGTTAAGCGTCTGACTCTTGATTTCAACTCATGTCATGAGATCGAGCCCCACGTGAGGCTCTGTACTCAGTGCAGAGTCTGCTTGTCCCTCTCCCTCTGCTCCTCTCCCACCCCACGCACTCGCGCACTCTCTCTCTCTCAAATAAATAAATAAAATCGTGAAAAAAAATTGGTCAAAGAGTATTACAGCATATAAGCAGGTATGAATAAAGACCTGTTGCATAAAGAACCACTCCATTTGAATTTGACTGCATGGGACTCAAATGAAACATCCAAGATTGAGTTCCTTCCGTTAGTTCACTTGTGGATGGTTCCGCTTTAGGAAAAGGGTGGCGATTAGCTTTTCGTACCATTGGGAACAGTTTCAGTTGGTAGGACAGTGAAGAAGATGAAATAAAAGACTTCTGAAAGACAGTTCCTCTTACATAACAATTCATGATAAATTCTGTATGGAGATTTTCCTAAAGAATCTTAGGATGATCTGGCCTTGAAGAAAAGCCAAGCATATGAAAACTTGTTTATAAACTGCAAATAAAGATAGCAGAAATAATAATAGCCTACTGGTCAGTAAGACTCAACCACAAAGTGTTTTGGGGTTTTTTTTTAAGATTTTATTTATTTATTTGACGGAGAGAGACACAGCATAAGAGGGAACACAAGCAGGGGAAGTGGGAGAGGGAGAAGCAGGCTTCCTGCTGAGCAGGGAGCCTGATGTGGGGCTCGATCCCAGGACCCTGGGATCATGACTTGAGCCGAAGGCAGACGCTTAACGACTGAGCCACCCAGGGGCCCCACACAGTGTTTTTAATTCTATGTTTTCTTATACCTAAGCAAGGTTAAAATGAATCAAGAATGTCACATGCTTTTCTGAATGAGAAATAATCCCCAGGGCGCCTGGGTGGCTCAGTTGGTTAAGCGGCTGCCTTCGGCTCAGGTCATGATCCTGGGGTCCTGGGATTGAGCCCCATGTCCGGCTCCCTGCTCAGCGGAGAGCCTGCTTCTCCCTCGCCCTCTGCCTACTTGTGCTCTCTATCTCTCTGTCAAATAAATAAAATATTAAAAAAAAAAAAAAAGAAAGAATCCCCTATTTCTGGTAGGAGAGCCTTGGGTGAGAGGTTCTGAGAACAGAGAAGCTGGGTCCTGCTTTGGTGGACTAAATGAGATTAATGCAGTTGGTGGTCTGAGCCCCTTTCATGAGGTAGGATTGAGGTTGTCTTGCTTGTTCAGATGATGCTTTGAGACCCAACTCTATCTCCATAAATTCTTCCTTAAAATCATGCAATTGAAGATAGGATTCTCAGCAAGTCTGAACAATTCAAATAGGTCATTTGTAAGCCACATCTTTTCTTTCTTTCTTTTTTTTTTAATTTTTTTTTTTTTTAAGATTTTATTTATTTGAGAGAGAGGGAAAGTGAGAGACAACACGAGTGGATGGGGAGGGACAGAGAAGAGGGAGAAGCAGACTGTCCGCTGGGCAGGGAGCCCAAGGGGGGGTTAATCCCAGGGCTCTGGGATCATGACCTGAGCAGAAAGCAGACGCTTAACCGACTGAGCCACCCAGGCACCCCAGGGCTTCTCAAAGTATAAAAAGTCATACTAGTAAAGTGTAAAAGAATTTTCAAAGTTATACTCTGTTTTTTGTTTCATTGTTCCTTTGCCAAGTTGTTTTTCATGGAAGAAAATGTGTATTTTTTCTTTTTCTTTTTTTTTTGAGTATTTATTTGAGAGAGAGAATTGAGCCCAATGTGGGGCTCAATCCCAGGACCCTGGGATCATGACCTGAGCTGAAGGCAGACATTAACTGACTGAGCCACTCAGCCACCCCTGTATAAGATATTTTCATTTGTCCTTGTACTTAATGCCCCAAAAGCAGTTCTTTTTCACCATTGCCATAAGTCCAGGAATGATGGTTCCTGTTTCAGTAGAAACAATAGATGGTAAGCCTCACAGTTTATATCATTTACCTTTGCACACTTACTGCTTCCTGAATGCACTATATTCTATATATTTTACTGCTTGTATGCTACTTTCTTGCAGTATGCTTGCAATTTTAACCATGAAGTTAGCCTAGAGAAACAGTGATTCCCACAGCCGTTCTCTGGCTCCTCCTTAGTACCAATAGAAGGCTTTCCTGAGTTAATATTCAAAGTGGAATTGAGGAAAGAGATATAATTGTAAGACTTTTGTTTATTTATCCAGTTGGCTTTGATTGCCTGGAATGATGACCATATTCTATGACCTCTTTCTTCATTGCTTGCATATGTATTACTGCTGCTACTAATATTATCTGATAAATAACACAAATAGTGATTTATTGGATTGATCTCTTTCATTTTTGTCACTGTAATCTGTATTGCCTTTTTTTTTCTCTTGTTTGTTTTTAATTCAAGTTAGTTAACGTGTAGGGTATTATTAGTTTCAGGGTAGAGTTTAGTGATTCATCAGTTGCATATAATACCCAGTGCTCATTATTTTTTTCTGGTTTTTAAGAAAGTGTAAAAATGTGGCTTCATTATCATCACTTGCTATATTTTAACTAAGAGCCGTAATGATGAGTATATTTTTGTTTGTTAACAATATATGTCATATACCAGGAATATGAATATTACTTTAATTTCTAAACAGAAACCAACCAAAACACTTACATCTGTTCCTTGCAAATCATTGAAGCCCTCAGATGAAGTGATTGAGACCACCAATGACTTGGGGAAGACAGACCTTTTTTGTTCTATTAATTGTTTCTCTGCTTACAATAAAGCTAAGACGGAATCATCTACAGGTAATGTTTGTTTAGCAGTTATCAGAGGTTTAGAAACTATTGAAGAATATTACTGCTCTCCTTTAATTTATAACCTTGATTCATCTCGAAATTAAACTGACTTAAAAGTCAAAACAGAGGTGCCTGGGTGGCTCAGTCGTTAAGCGTCTGCCTTCAGCTCAGGTCATGATCCCAGGGTCCTGGGATCGAGCCCCACATCGGGCTCCCTGCTCTGCGGGAAGCCTGCTTCTCCCTCTCCCACTCCCCCTGCTTGTGTTCCTGCTCTCGCTGTGTCTCTCTCTGTCAAATAAATAAAATCTTTAAAAACAAAAAAAAAGTCAAAACAATGCAAAATTCATTGCAAAAAAATGTTTTTCAGGTGCACCTGGCTGGCTCAGTCAGTAGATCATGTAACTCTTAATCTCAGGGTCATGAGTTCAAGCCCCACATTGGGCATGGAGCCTACATTTTAAAAAAAGTTTTCCAGTAGTTTTATATAAAAGGAAGCCTACTTCACAACTAGAGACTTAATATTTATTTGTAAAGATTGTTGTGTTAGAATATAGAATTTTGTACTTAGCCCTGCTTTGTAAAAACAAGGGTATTAGTTACATTTTTTACAGCAAATAGAACTAGTTGGAAATACTTGGAAGTTCACTAATAGAAAAGCACAAGTCACCCGGGGCCAACTTCGTATTCCATCAAAGAGCCTCATATAGGACCACTGGTCCTGTTTACATAGATAATAAAGTAAATGATGCCCCTGGGGCTTGTACATCATGTAAACTGGCTCATTATAGAAATCTTTGCAATACTAGCTTAGATACCAGTGTAGCTCCATTCATGTTGAGGGTTATGAATCTTGAAAGAGTTAGAAATGATACCCATTAGGGACGCCTGGCTACCTCAGTCGGTAGAGCGAGTGACTCTTAATCTTGGGGTAATGGGTTTGAGTCCCATGTTGGGTGTAGAGATTACTTTAAAAAAAATAAAATATTTTAAAAAATGATGAAAGAAATGATAACCATTAGGAGATTCTAAAGGAATCTCTTTTCTGTTCTTCATGGGTAATTTCATGTAAAGATTTGCTTGAAATTTCAAGCAAATGGTTAAAAGAACCGAGAAATTGTATGCAAAGGTAAAATATGTTAAAAAATGGAAAAAGGAAATTATCAGTTTAAGGTTATTAATGTGTTATCCTAAAGAACCTGGCAATCCCTAAGCCATACTCCAATATCCAGCAATAATACCTAAAGCTATTAGATTTTTTTTTTTTTTTTTTTTAAGATTTTATTCACTTAGGGCGCCTGGGTGGCTCAGTTGGTTAAGCGACTGCCTTCGGCTCGGGTCATGATCCTGGAGTCCCTGGATCGAGTCCCGCATTGGGCTCCCTGCTAGGCAGGGAGCCTGCTTCTCCCTCTGACCCTCCCCCCTCTCATGTGCTCTCTCTGTCTCAAATAAATAAATAAAATCTTTAAAAAATATATATATTTTATTCACTTATTTGACAGAGAGTGTATACAAGCGGGGAGCAGCAGAGAGAGAGGGAGAAGCAGGCTCCCCACCGAGCAGGAAGCCAGATGCGGGGGTCAATCCCAGGACCCCAGGATCATGACTCGAGCCAAAGGCAAATGCTTAACCCACTGAGCCACCCAGGCACCCCAAGCTATTAGATTTTTTCATTGTTTGTTGAAACACTTGTTATTAAACAGTGCTTTCTGATTGATTGATTCTGCTTGGTTTTTGAGAAATCTTTTTATTTTTTTCAGTAAATGTTTCCGTGGTACATGATGCCTCAACGGATCTCTTTTCTCCAAAGAAAGATACAACTCCAGTTATAAGCAATATAGTGTCACTGGCAGATACTCATGTTTCCCTACCCATCATGAACTCTGATGTCTTACAAGGTAAAATTGATATAAAGATACCTGACATAGACACTGTTTTCCCATCCTTGATGAATCTATCTATATTCTAAGGTTGTTTTTGTTGTCTGATATGAAATAAGCAATTGTAGTTTATGATGCTATTTTATAGCATATATTTTATTGCATACAAGATCTTGAATTGATGATACTCTTTTATTTTAGCAGATACAGTTTCTTCAGTAACAGCAAATGTCATTGTAGATGTAAGTTTTGTCCTTATTATTTTTGACACTGTCTTGTCTTTTAAGCATATTTTGTGCATATATATGTATATATATGTGTGTGTGTCCATATATATATATATGAGCATATTCATTCCTGTTTTCATCGAAGAGCTCAAAAAAGTTGAGCAAGAGACATCTTTTGGTATTCACATTCAATTTCCCAAATCTCAGGTTTGACTTGAAATTATTAATAAGAATATTTAAACAGAAGTATTATTAGTTGTAGTTTTTCCTCTGCATTCTTTATTACCTTTTTCAATATTCTAGGTCACGTGAGCAATAAAAATTATTTTTATTACAATTACATACCAAAAGATTCTTTGAACATTTAATGCTGAATTTAGATTGCAACTTTATATTATAAATAATTGTTAACGTTTCCCCCTAGTGGAGCTAATATTGCAACTCACCCATTCATTTTATTATGTTATTAGGATAGATAATTTTGATATTTTAATCATTTGAAAACTGTTCAAACAAATGCTTTTCTCTTTTTCTCTCAAACATTTCTAAGACTTTACCCAGTGAATCAAGTAGTGGTGTTGCAACTGGTAGTGTTGAACAGCCAAGCCTTTCTCCATCTTCATCAATACCCAGTCAGCATATGGTTGAGTCCAGTGTAGAAGTACAGAAAGATCAAGTGTCAAACCAAGATGCTACATACAATATGAAATCTGTGAAAATAAGTGATGGACTATGTCACCCAAAATTTACATCCAAAGTACAAAAAGTTAAAGATAAGTCACGAAGCATTAAAAAATCTTGGTGTTCAAATTTCCAGCATTTGAAAAACAGTATTAAAAAGGAAGTGACATTCTGTTATTCATGCCAGTTGTTCTGCCAAAAAAATTTTAGTTTTGGAGGAGAATCATTTGCAGCCCAAGGAATTTCTAATTGGAAAAAGACTCTAGAAAAATTCAGAAAGCATGAAAAAAGTGAAATGCATTTGAAGTCATTGCAGTTTTGGAGGGAATACCAGTTTTCTGATGAAGCCATCAATGATAATTTATCTATTCATTCAAAACAGATTGAAGGAAATAAAAAGTACCTAAAGCTTATAATTGAAAATATTTTATTTCTTGGGAAGCAGTGTTTACCATTAAGAGGAAATGACCAATCGATTTCATCTGTGAATAAAGGCAATTTTTTAGAACTGTTAGAAATCAGAGCAAAAGATAAAGGAGAAGAAATATTTCGACTTATGAATTCACAAGTTGACTTCTATAATAGTACACAAATTCAAAATGATATTATTGAAATAATAAAGACTGAAATGCTGCAAGATATTGTGAACGAAATCAATGCCTCCTCAGCTTTCTCAATAATATGTGATGAGACAACTGGTAGTGCCACTAAAGAACAGCTTTCAGTTTGTGTAAGATACCCACAAAAAATGTCAAAGGCTGTCTTAATTAAAGAAAGATTCTTGGGTTTCATAGATACTGAAGAGATGACTGGGACTAACTTACATAGGATTATCAAAACTTACCTGCAGCAAATTGGAGTTGATCTGAAGAAGATATGTGGCCAGGCCTATGATAGTACCACTAATTTGAGGGGAAAATTTAGTAAAATTGCAGCAGAATTCAAGAAAGAAGAGCCAAGAGCTTTGTACATACATTGTTATGCACATTTTTTGGATTTAGCAGTAATTAGGTTTTGTAAAGAAGTGAAAGAACTCCGAAGTGCTCTAAATACTCTCAACTCTTTGTTCAACACTATTCATATGTCTGGGGAAATGTCTGCAAATTTTCAAAACATTTGTAAGCTAAGTCAAAACAAAACATGCAAGAAACATACATCACAATCATGTTGGACAGTCCATGATCATACATTACTGTCTGTGATTGAGGGCCTTCCAGAGATTATTGAAACATTGGAAGTTGTATCAAGCCATTCTTCAAACACAAGTTTGGCTGATGAATTGAGTGATTTGTTAACATTGGTTTCCAAATTTGAATTTATCTTTTGTTTGAAATTTCTTTATCGAGTGTTAAGTGTTACAGGAATTCTTTCCAAAGAGCTTCAAAGTGAAACCATAGATATTTTTTCGTTGTCTTCAAAAATAGAAGCAATTTTGGAATGTTTATCATCTGAAAGAAATGATGCCTATTTCAAAACTATCTGGGATGGGGCAGAGGAAATATGTCAAAAAATAACCAGTAAAGGTTTTGAAGTTGAAAGACCTTCTTTTCAGAAAAGAAGAAAAATTCAGAAAACAGTAGATCTTGGCAATTCAGATAGTATGTTTTTTCCTACTTCAACAGAAGAACAATATAAAATTAATATTTATTACCAAGGATTGGATACTATATTAAATAATTTAAAATTATGTTTTTCAGAGTTTGATTATTGTAAAATGAAGCAAATTTCAGAACTATTATTTAAATGGAATGAACCATTAAATGAGACAACAGCCAAACATGTCCAAGAATTTTATAAACTTGATGCAGACATCATCCCAGAACTTAGATTTTATCGGCAATATGCAAAGCTCAATTTTGTCATAGATTATGATTGTATCAACTTCATCAATCTTGGCTGTTTGTTTATTCAGCATGGTCTTCACAATAATATTCCTTGCATATCAAAGTTATTATATATTGCTTTGTCTTGGCCAGTTACTTCAAGTGCTGAAAATTCATTTTCTATACTGCCCCGTCTTAAAACATATTTATGTCATACCATGGGACAAGAGAAGCTTAGTGGCCTAGCCCTAATGGCTGTTGAGCAGGAATTGGTGAATAAACTGATGGAACCTGAAAGACTCAATGGAATTGTAGAAAAGTTTATCCATCAGATGAAAGAAACCTAACATTTGCTAATTTGAATTTACCTAAAAGAATTTTGTATTTCTGCTGGAATGTTTGTTTTTTATTTCAAAATTTTATCTCCTAAGAAAAAATTTTTTTCATCAGAACATGTAACATTCACTTGATTGAAAATTCAAAAAAACAGACTGAAAAGAGAAAAGTCTCCTTCCTCTTTTTAGTACCCAATTCCCCCTCCCTGTAGTGTTATCTGTTTCTCAAATATCCTCCTGGAGATATTTTTCACAGATAGTACTCTGCAGTGCACACCGTTCTTCAACTTGTCCACTTAACGTATTTTTGAGATTGTCCTATATCAGTACTAAAGAGTTTCTTGATTTTTTTTTACAACTGCATAAAATTTCATTGTATGAATGTACCATAATATATTTGAGCAGTCCCTAACAATAAACATTTCAATTCTTTCTAGTATTTTGCTATTATAAATAATCCTGCATTTAATAACCTCGTACAGGGGCCTGGGTGGCTCAGTCGGTTAAGCGTCTGCCTTCAGCTCAGGTCATGATCCCAGGGTCCTGGGATCGAGCCCCACATTGGGCTCCCTGCTCAGGGTCAGGGGGGGCGGGCTGTTTCTCCCTTCCCCTCTGCCTGCCGCTCCCCCTGCTTGTGCCCTCTCTCTGCCAAATAAATAAAATCTTTAAAAAATAATAACCTTGTACATAGGTCATATTGCACATGATTGAGTTACTGTAAGATAAAATTTTATATTAGAATTACTAGGTCAGAAGATTTATGCATTTTTATTCTTTTTTTTTTTTTTAAAGATTTTATTTATTTGAGAGAGAGAGAATGAGAGAGAGCACATGAGAGGGGGCAGGGTCAGAGGGAGAGGCAGACTCCCTGCGAGCAGGGAGCCCGATGCGGGACTCGATCCCGGGACTCCAGGATCATGACCTGAGCCAAAGGCAGTCGCTTAACCAACTGAGCCACCCAGGCGCCCTGCATTTTTATTCTTGATAGATACTGGCAGATTGCTTTCTATAAGGATTATGCCCATTTACAGTCCCACCACCCATGTGTGAGATTGCCTATTTCCTTGAATCTTTATAAACAGTGTTCTGAAACATTTTGATACCAGTCTGGTATCAATCCCAGTGGAATTTTGTATTTTCACTTAAGAATAAGGTTGGGTAGGGGGTACCTGGGTGGCTCAGTCGGTTAAGCGTCTGCCTTCAACTCAGGTTGTGATTCCAGGGTCCTGGGATCAAGTCCTGCATCAGGCTTCTTGCTCAGCAGGGAGCCTGCTTCTCCCTCTGCCTGCCGCTCCCCCTGCTTGTGCGCGTGGTCTCTCTCTTTCTGACAAATGAATAAATAAAATCTTTTATAATAATAATAATGATAGGGTTGGGTTATCTACTTGAGCTTCAATTAGTATTTCCTTTTCCTGTGAACTGTCACGTTTAAACATGACTATGGTTTTGGTTGACACAAATAGATGGTGCAATATGAATTCTTAATCTACTCTATGAAAATATGACTAAATAACCCAAAAAGAAGAGACTCTTTCTATCATTATACTTTAGAAAGGTTCAGGTGATAAAGGAAAATCTGTCCCTCAGAGACTTGTAAGAATTTAGTGGTAGATGTATCTGGGCCTAGAATTTTGTTTGTTTTAGGAATATTTCTCTGCCACTTCTCCCTTTCTGTTTCTTTCTCCTCAATTCTTAATTGTAATTTTTCTAGAAAGAGCATTTTACTTAGGCTTTTTTGAAAACGTATTTACGTAAAGGTATAGAAAGTATTTTTTTAATTTTTTCTGTATACTAAGTTTCCTCAACAATTTCTGTATACATGCTTTCTTGCTTGATTAGCCAACCGGTGGTTTATTTACTTGTTTTTCATACACATTCTTAGATTTATTTATCAATCCTACTTTTTAAAAATATTATGGTTGATTTTAACATAAAAAATACAAAGAGCATACCAAGTAACATTTAATCCTATAAATCCTAATATTTTACTATGCTCCAGATTTTTATTTCAGAAATATTACAGAGCAAGATGAAGCTCCCTTGCAAATCTTTTATTGATAGCATTCCTCTTCTATTTTCCCCAGAAGCAATGATTATTTGTTGTGCTTCTTTCCATGCATGTTTAATTTTATACTTAAAAGATAGCCTTGTTTCATATTTATAAACTTTACAAGTCTTTTTTTTTTTAAAGATTTTATTTATTTATTTGAGAGATAGAGAATGAGAGACAGAGAGCATGAGAGGGAGGAGGGTCAGAGGGAGAAGCAGACTCCCTGCCAAGCAGGGAGCCCGATGCGGGACTCGATCCTGTGACTCCAGGATCGTGACCTGAGCTGAAGGCAGTCGCTTAACCAACTGAGCCACCCAGGCGCCCCCATATTTATAAACTTTATATAAAACTCTAAGTTGCATTGTACATACCTTTCGGTAATTTTTTTTTCACTCAATGTTGTTTTTGAAATTTATACATGGATTTCTAGTTCATTAATTTTAGCTGCTGAATAATACCCCATTGTAGGAATATACATGTTCATTTTTTCTCTATTTAAATGGACATTTTATACTCTTTGATTTTGCACTTTTATAATACTCCAATGAACATTTGTATATGTGGTATGCATTTGCACATTCAACAAATACTTTTGAGCAAGTACTATATACTAGACGCTATTCTAACTGTGGAGACCCAGCAGAGAATAAAATAAGGCCCTGACTCCCAATGAAATTTAGCTTTCTAATGTGATCCAAGATAGATACTAGAAGAGGTTGCTCACTAGTTCTTTATGTAGATAGATGATAATAAAGAAAAGAATATAGGCTGCACTAGGATAAAAGATGAGACTTTCGAAGCTGTGGCCAGTGAAGGCCTTACCCAACCACCAATCCCTGACATACCAGTTGGGAAGGTCTGCTGTAGGGTACTTACCTAGAAGTAGACGTGATGGTTAAAGGCTATGTTCATCTTCCACTTTAATTAAACCTCGGTTTAATTAATTTTCTCTTTCCCACCATTATCTGAGTGTCTCTCTTGTTCCACACATCCTTACCAACATTTGGTATTATCATTTTACTCTTTTTTTTTTTTAATTCATTGATTTCTGCTTTACCTTTTTTAAAAAAAGAAAACAAGGGGCGCCTGGATGGCTCAGTCGTTAAGCATCTGCCTTTCGGTTCAGGTCATGATCCCGGAGTCCTGGGATTGAACCCTGCATTGGGCTCCCTGCTCCGCGGAAAGCCTGCTTCTCCCTCTCCCACTCCCCCTCTTGTGTTCCTGCTCTCTCTCTCTCTCTGTCAAATAAATAAAATCTTATTTAAAAAAATACTTTAAAAATTAAAACAAAATAGAAGGCAGTTAGTTAACCACTAGTATTGGATGCTTCTTGCGTGTATTTTCATTCTTTTCAATTTTGAAAGTGCTTAGTGCTGTGAACTGTCCTCTGAAGTCACCTTTGTCTACCATGTGTTTTTCTCATTTTCATTATTTTCTAGCTGTTTGCAGTTGTAGTTTCTATATTGTCATGGAACCAGGAATTAATTTTAAGAGGTTGGGTTTTTTTTACTTTTTAAATATTCAAATATTTTGTTTTTTACTTTTTTTCCTATAAAGACAGTAACATAAGTCCTAGACCTGAAAAAGAAAACTACAGTAATTAAAACGGCTATCTTGGTTGAATACCTACTATGTAATGTAGTACTTTGTTCAGTGCTTTACATACAATATTTCATTTAGATCTCTCAACAACCTATCCTTTTACACAGGAAACAAAGACAAAAAGGTTATGGATCACAGAGTAAATGGTGAATGTAGGATTTGTGTCCAGGCAGTGTGACTCCAAAGCCCATGCTCTCAATCACAGTGCTCTACTAACTCTTATACAAACTATTATCAGAAATATTCCCAGGGTGCCTGGGTGGCTCAGTTGGTTAAGCGACTGCTTTCGGCTCGGGTCATGATCCTGGAGTCCCGGGATCGAGTCCCGCATCGGGCCCCCTGCTCGGCGGGGGGTCTGCTTCTCCCTCTGCCCTCTTCCCTCTCGTGCTCTCTGTCTCTGAGTCTCTCTCTCTCAAATAAATAAATAAAATCTTTAAAAAAAAAAAAAAAATTCCCAAATAAAAGAGTAACTACCAGAAGGGCATTAAAGAATAGAAGATCACAGAAATAGCAGTATAGTTTTTTAATTTCCCCAAATCCACTGAAGCAGAAATCCATGCACAACATCTACAACAAATCTTGGTGACAATGTATCCCCATGGTCCCCAAAATAAGATTAGGTAGTGACAAACTCAAAGGCAATCCATAGACCTGAATGGTATTGGCTATCTGTTTAGAAAGCCATGGAGGAAAAGCAGTGGGACATCTGATACCCTTTGAGAATTAAGAAATCCCCCCAAATAAACAGGTTTCCACTAGAAAGCATGGCAGGCTAATTAGGAAACAGTAGCCCAAAAAGAAGGTCCCTACAGATGTCAGCTGGTGAATTTGAGGAGACTGTGCTAAGTTCTGAAGATGATAGAGTAGTCTAGGTCCTTATGAACTCTGGTTTTTTTGTTTTGTTTTGTTTTGGTCCTTAGGAACTTTTGAAACTAATAAATACAAGCTTTATTCCCAAACAGCTCAATTAAGGAGAAACTGCTGGCTGTAGACAACAATTTTATCAGGACAGCGATAGTAGGGACAGAGGAAAGACAATATACAGATTGAAATGAAGGAGAGAATCAGAGGAAGCAGAATCTCAATATGAGGTAATTTTGTGAAAATAATAGAATTTCATGAGCCTTGAGGCCAGCAAAGTTATTTTTGTCCTTTTTACCTCCCTAAAAGTATAGGAAAATGTATTTCACATAGAAGTGAACAACAGAATTGTAGAATTTAATACAAAAATAGAGAACAGAGTTATAAAACCTAAAAATTAAGTGTTTTAATCCAAGCTATAAGAATTTAAGAAAACTATGAAAGCTATAAATGAATTAGAAAAGCTCAGATAAGTGGATGAAAGATTTTAAAAGATCAGTGACAATTCAGCAAAGCATTAGAAATTAAAGGGAAAAAAATCACTTTAAAACTGAAAACTCAGGTGCCTGGGTGGCTCAGTCGGTTAAGTGTCCGATTTGATTTCGGCTCAGGGTTGTGAGTTCAGGCCCTGTGCTGGGCTCCACTGGGCATGGAGCCTACTTAAAAAAAAAAAAAAGAAGGGACTCCAAAGTCAGTAAGACACAATTGATAATCCCTAAGAAAAAGAGAATGGAAAGGAAGAAAATGTTTTCCATCAAAACAAGAGACTTTAGGGTGCCTGGGTGGTTCAGTCAGTTAAGCATCTGCCTTCAGCTCAGGTCACGATCCCAGGATCCTGGGATTGAGTCCTGCATTGGGCTCCCGGCTCAGCAGGGAGACTGCTTCTCTCTCTGCCTTTGCCTCTCCTCCCTGCTCATGCTCTCTCTCTCTCTCAAAGAAATAAATAAAATCTTAAAAAAAAAAATTTTTTTTAAAGGATTCAAGAGAAAGTTATCAAATATAGAAGACTTGATATCCATATAAAAGGAATCTTCAAAGAAGAAATTGAGCCAATGGAAAAGAATATTAAAAATACACAGTAATCCAAAGCAATTGAAAAGAACAAATACTAAAAACTGTATGCCAGTTATTTAGATTTTGTCTCAGCTCCCCACCCACCATTCTGTCTCTGGTGATGATAAAGCTGGACATCCAAACCACAGCAGTTCTCCTCTAGCTGGATCTGTGTTAGCCTCTACCAATAGGGAGCACTAGAGGACAGCTGCAAGCATGAGGGAGAAAGAATCTGTTCCTGTTTCCTGGGCTGTATGTCTGCTTGTGGCTGTGAGCATCATTCCAGCAATGCTACATCATTCTGGAAGCACCACCTCCTTCCCTAGCAGGACCTCATTCCAGTTGCAATTTTCACAACACTTACAGAACCACTTTAATCATGCCCCTCCTGTGAGACACCAGCACGCCCTCTTCAGGGCTCTGGGTCTTAAGCCCAAGCTCAAACCAGCACAGCATCCTTCCTCAGATGTCTGACTCAGCTCCATGAGGTCCCTCTAAATTTTAACTCCTATCTCCTTTATTTTGTTCTCTCATCCCTGAGAATCTAAGCTGCTACTTCTATGACATTTTGGTGTTTTCTTTTTATTCTTTCAGTAACCTACTTAGCTCTATAGTTAATTTGTTTTCATATTCCATCTGCTCAAATAACTAATATGGCTTCTCTGTCCTTACTGGACCCTGGCCAATACACTGTAATTCAAGGGAGCTTGCCTGAAATTAGAAAGACTTTATGTATTGGGGCCCATGGGTGGCTCAGTCTTGGTTTCAGCTCAGGATCATGGGATCAAACCCTGAGTTGGGCTCTGTGCTCAGTGGGGAGTCAGCTTGAGATTCTCTCTCTCTCTCTCTCTCTCTATCCCTCTGCCCCTCCTCCCACTCACGTGCTCGCTTGCTCTCTCTCAAATAAATCTTTAAAGAAAGAAAGGCTATGTATTGAAAAGATAAACTGTGTGCCTAAGAATGTGACCCAGAGGGCACCTGAGTGGCTCAGTTGTTAAGCGTCTGCCTTCAGCTCAGGTCATGATCCCAGGGTCCTGGGATTGAGCCCTGCATCGGTCTCCCTGCTCCGCGGGAAGCCTGCTTCTCCCTCTCCCACTACCCCTGCTGTGTTCCCTCTCTCGCTGTGTCTCTCTCTGTCAAATAAATAAATAAAATCTTCAAAAAAAAAAAAAAAAAAGAATGTGACCCAGAATGGTCATGGCCAAAAATACTTTTAATGTTTAAAGAAAAAAATTCCTTTGAGAATCCAGGCCAAAAAGCCAAGACACTTGGGCGCCTGGGTGGCTCAGTCGGTTGAGCGACTGCCTTCGGCTCAGGTCATGATCCGGGAGTCCCGGGATCGAGTCCCGCATCGGGCTCCCTGCTCAGCGGGGAGTCTGCTTCTCCCTCTGACCCTTTCATGCTCTATCTCATTCTCTCTCTCAAATAAATAAATAAAATCTTTAAAAAAATTTAAAAAGCCAAGACACTTATTAAGGGAAAGTAAATCTGATTATTTTCATAGTTTTTCATAATGACATTCTATGCCAGAAGACAATGAAGTAACAAACGTAGGATTTTATAACCAACGAAATTGACTTTTTAAAAATTTTTTTATTTTTTAGATATTTTTTAAAGATTATTTGAGAGAGAGAGAGAGAGAGAACATGAGAGGGGGCAGGGTCAGAGGGAGAAGCAGACTCCCTGCTGAGCAGGGAGCCCGATGCGGGACTCGATCATGGGACTCCAGATCATGACCTGAGTTAAAGGCAGTCGCTTAACCAACTGAGCCATCCAGTTGCCCTGTTTTTTAGATTTTTTATTTATTTATTTGAGAGAGAGAGCACACAAGCAGGGGGAGTGATAGGCAGAGGGAGGAGCAGGCTCCCCGCTGAGCAAGGAGCCCGATGAGGTACTCCATCACAGGACCCTGGGATCATGACCTGAGCCAAAGGCAGATGCTTAACCAACTAAGCCACCTTAGGTGCCCCGAAACTGACTTTTTAAAAAAATTTTATTTGAGAGAGAAAGAGGGAAAGCACGAACAAGAAGAGGGAGAGAAGCAGACTCTCCACTGAGCAGGGAGCCCAATGTAGGGCTCAGTCCCAGGACCCTGGGATCATGACCTGAGCCAAAGGCAGACGCTTAACTGACTGAGCCACCCAGGCACCCCACAAAATTGACTTTCAAGTATCAAAACCACAGGCAAACTATCGTCAATATGCAAACTCATGGAACCTTGTTTCCATGATCCCTGGACCTAAGGAATCTACTAGAGAATGTGGTTCAGATAAGTAGATTGATTGGAGTGGCATTAACATGAGGGGTGATAGTTTTACAAGTATCAAGAAGGAAAAATAAAATTAGAGGGTGCCTGGGTGGCTCAGTTGGTTAAGCAACTGCCTTCGGCTCAGGTCATGATCCTGGAGTCCCGGGATCGAGTCCCGCATCAGGCTCCCTGCTCAGTGGGGAGTCTGCTTCTCCCTCTGACCCTCCTCCCTCTCATGCTCTCTGTCTCTCATTCTCTCTCTCAAATAAATAAATAAAAATCTTTAAAAAAAAATAAAATAAAATTAGAATATCACTCTTTTGAATTAATAGATCTAGGTGGTGATCATCCATGACTGCTACTGTCATTAAAGGAAGCTAGGCATTATATACTTCCCAATGGACATCAGCACCAGCTGAGCAGTGCATCCCCTCAGAGGTCTGAATTTCAATTCCACAGGATTCTTCCAGGCTTTTAAGGATTAATAACTCCAACCTCTTCTCTTTCCCCCCACCGCCCCCCAGCCAAGTGCTAACAGTTAGAGGTGGTAGAAGCTACCAGGAATTGCTGCTTCTAGAACACCTTAGTGCTCTCTTTGTGCCTTCTTAGCTCAGTGATTCAAATAACTCATGTGGTTTCAGTCTCCTGGCTGATAGAGAACCATCCATGAAGTAATCTTGCCAAAATAATTCAATCTTTAATTTCGTCAAGACCTTAGATCTAATACTCTGGTTTCTCTTCAGATTGAATGAATCTTTTGCCTTAAAAATAATAAATAAATAAATAAATCAATCAATCAATCAATCAATCAAT